AGTGCTCTGCCAGCCTGCCAGGCAGGCTGGAATTCTAAGAATGGAAGTTCACTCATAAAAAAGCTTTCCACCCAAGGTGAAAAGCTTTCCTTGGATACAGTGCTCTGCCAGCCTGCCAGGAGACTGACTATAAATGAAAAGGAGGATCAAGAGTGGACAGAAATCACAAAATGTTTCAATTGTATAGTACATTAGGTTTGTAATAGAATTATTTGGATATCTCGACCTCGTGTTCAGATAGTTTTTTTTATTTGTCTTATATCTAATGGGTTTTTTGAAAAATTTTCAGGCCTTTTGTTTGTAATGATCAAGTTTCAGTTAAGTATTTAGTTAACCAGTAGTCCAGTACTGTAGTACATATACCACACTTGGGGGAGGGGCTTATGGGCACAACCAATCACAGCTTGAAAGCATCCCCATCAGCCAATCACAGCTTNAGTGACGGAATATAGGGATTTGGTAGGTTTCCATTCTAAAGGCTTTTTAATAAATATGGCAACATTTTGTGACGTTTCATCGTTGCTGACGCCGCGACGCGTAGTAAAGTGTTTAGAGAGTCACGTGAAGACAACAGAACTTACGTAACGCATACAGTTTTTTTATAGTTTTTCATTTCTCGATGCATCCTTAATGTGTCGGAATATACCACGTTTACCCTAAAACAAAGCTTAATATAAAGGAAAAGCTAGAGAGGTGACGGAATTACCCACGATGTCGGAATATATCGCGTTTACCCTAGGCTATTCCATCAAGCGCCCGTTTTTCAAGCCTGACAGATCACAGATGCCCAGGGCGCAGAGGGTGGATGCAGTGTTGCCAATATATGAGTTTTTAAACCCTAAGCGTCGCCGGGTAATTTTAAGATGTGTCGCCGGGTAATTTTTAATTAAAAGACATTTACGCTGAGTAATGAAAAACTATTTACAAGCCATGAACTTATTTACAAGGTTGCATGCACACGTTACCCCAAATAACTAATTTTATCCTAAAAACAGTCTGATTGTACAGCAAGTGTCAACTGAACATGTGATAATGAAGTCTGACCGCTCTAATGTGACCGCAACTACGTAGGGTAAACGCGGTATATTCCGACACATTAAGGACGCATCGAGAAATGAAAAACTATAAAAAACCGTATGCGTTACGTAAGTTCTGTTGCCTTCACATGACTCTCAAAACACTTCCTGTCTCTTATACACATCTAGATGTGTATAAGAGACAGTTCTAGCAATGATTGGATTCATTTGACTGTGACGTTGGACGCGTTCAAGCATTGATTGGATTCTTGTGACTGTTACGTTGGACGCGTTCAAGCGTTGATTGGATTCTTGTTACTGTGATGATGCAAGCACTGTTTTTTTTCAAAGAAACAGCTGTGGCATCTTGCAGAGACTCATCAGTGATGATGATGGAGTGAAAGTGGAAGTGTGCTGGACGTTCCAGATTTTTGGGTCCTGCTTTCCAAATTGCTATGTTTACCAGTTAATATATTACCCCTCTGGATTTCCACACTGATTGCAACTGATTTCCAGACAAGCTTCAGCTTCACTGCATCCTGATCCATCCAACATATCGAAAACATTACTTTTTTTAAATAGTTGGCCAAAGAATGACAAATATATTAAATGCAAGAATTTCAATCTAAATGTGTTGGCAAGATCTTCTGAAGGTGTAAATTTTGCTACTGAAGCGTTGCCAAAGATCTTGCAATATTCATCCACTCTCTGCACTCAGTGCACTGCACAGTGGACAGACGCTTAGCCTTTCTCAAATCTCAATGACCTGCTCAAAGTTGAAGTGCCATTAGATTAAAGTAGGCTAGCCTCATCGTCATCAGTCATCATGTCAATGATGTCAGGCATGTCACGGGCCTCACGGCATGCAAAAAGTTTGGATGTGCAGCTGTGTGCATTCTGCAAGACTGCAGCAGCAGCACTGCCGCCACTGAGCACTGCAGCTGTAGGCTCAAGTCAGCTCAACCTCAACTTTTAGAGGTAGATATAGCTTTAGGAATATTCAACAAGGACGGCTTGGCAATCTGAAAAATTCATTTTCAGGCCATTTATTCTTTTATACTTCTTCTAACAGGAGCACTGGAAACAAGTTTATGCAGCCCCTCCCCCTTGGCCCTTGCCTAACCTGGCTAACCAGGGTCTAGTCAGAGGCCATTTGGTAATCTTGGTAATCTTGGTAATATTTAAGCACCAGCCTTCCTGGGCATCTGGTGCTTCGATCAGAGCATGGGAACGATTTCTTAGAGCTTGTCAATGATGTGAGTGTTGGATTGCTCTTAAGGAGCTAAGAGAGTCCGAGAATAGAATGTATAAGCCTTCCTTGTCTTCTAGAAATTTTAGTGTGCTATAGATGGCGAATAGTTCGGCAGAGAAGATAGAGTTATTTCTGCAGAGACGTGCCATGAGTTTGAAGGAAGTAGACCATGCCCCTGCAGCCGTGCAGTTTGTGGTCTTAGATCCATCGCAGAAAATGGGGGTCCGTGTAGGGTACTTGAGCAGAAGGTCCACATAGCAGGCTTGCCATGCGTTTGGAGGAAGGTCAGATTTCTTGGAGGTGTGAAGTGTAATGTCTATTGTGGGTGTTGTTATTGGGAAAAGCATATCAGGTGTCAGACCAGGAACTGAGGTGAAAGTGAGATTCATAGTGATGAATTCATGGTGCATATGTCCAATTGCTGGCAGTATTCTTCGTTGGTGAGAGGCCATTTGAATCATCAAGCGGAAACCAAACACCATAGAAGTTCACTGAACTGCGGAATCAAGAATATTTAACGGACTGTTCCAATCATGGTTGAACTAATATAATAAGGTTGACCCACGGCAATGACGATTTTTCGTCGTTCTGCGCATGCACATCTCTATAGTGACGTCACTGTAGGCACAAAATGTAAAGTGTAGATCAACACATTGTTTCTATGTCATCTTTGAAAGAAATTAAAAAAATTGACCTCATCAAAATAGCCCAAGAAAATTTATTTACTGCATGCAACTAGTCTTATTTTAAGCATAATTATGGGCGGTGTTACAAATCAGCTTGACGTCACAAGTGCTAAGGTGACGTCACAAGATCCAAGATGACGTCACAGTTGGAATAACAAATGACATCCGCAACGCGCAGCTGCACGTGGGAAAACCTTGTATTAGTTCAACCATGAAAAAAATTGACCTCATTAAAATGGCCTAAAAATTTATTTACTACAACTAGTCTTATTTTAAGCAAAACATGTGTTACAAATCAGTGTGAATCACACGGTGACATCACAACGACCAAGGTGACATCACAGATGGAATAACAAATGATATCCGCAAGGCGCAGCTACGCGTGGGTCAACCTTGTATTGGAACAATTACTAGACATGTAGTATCTGGACCAGAAAGGGATAACATCTCATCTTCTACATAAAAGGCTACCTAAAATAATAATTCAAATCAAAATAATGTTTTGAAAAGTCAAAGGTTTATCGATATAAATTAAAAGTTACTTTCAAACACACAAAATAATTTATTGAATAAATACATTCATCATTCGGAAGATAAGATTGAGGAGTTGAAATCCATAACTCATGAAACAATGCGACAAATAAAACACCGCGGAAAAATGCTGGCTAAGTATTCAAAGGATATAATGACAGGAATGTGAGAGCGAACCCTCAAGTGTTATGGACAACTCAGTGATGAGCAGCAAAATTTAAGCAATTCGTTCCGCCAGGCTCTTCATAGTATGACTATCCTGCATCTCATTTTCTGGATGTGCCTCTAACTCACAATGTTTTCAAAAGTTGTAAGAATAACTTTTCCATTGTTGACGCAGTTTCTTTCGACGATTCGGCTGATGCTTAATTTTGCTGCTCATCATTGCGTTGTCCTGAACACTTGAGGGTTTGCTCCACCTCTCTTGTATTTCAACTTCAGTTTTTCGAGGGAATGTCGAGCTAGCATCCTGCCGCAGTGTTCTACGCGCAGCAGCGCCTTGGGAGTTATTTATTTCAACTCATCGCAGTAGCGATCAACTTGCTGCTCAACTCAATGCATGCGGAATGTAGCGCTTAAGGGGCGCTTATTCAAAATAAGCACTTCGTGATCTTCACATCAAAAGTCATTAGCGGAGCTTGATGTCAAATCATCCTCAGCCAGACGTCACTCGTGGTTCCATTCTTCGTTTTGAGTTAAGAGAACCTTGTCTGAAGAAAGCTTGTGATTGTCGGTAAAATCCTGGGTAGTTGAACAAGAGATGTTGTTGCTTGAAGTAGCATTGCTATTTTAGGCCTCATTCATTTCCAAGGATGCTAGAAACCTTGCTGACATACGACAGATGTAATTTCGACTTCAAAATGCCGGTACAAAAATTAAATGAAATATCAAAGACATTTTAACATCATCACCTGGATTGCGTACGTGAAGACTTTGGACAATTGAGAGACTACAAAAACATTTTGTCAATTACGGTTCATTTCCTTTCGCTGTCATTGCAGCCTTCAGGAACATAAATACCGTTCCCTTCACTGACTGTTGTATACGAGAGTCATCCTGTAGTTTAATGCGGATAAAAAATTGTAGGTACCAAGCAAGATGCATCTTTTATGGAAGTACTCAATTAGTTTCTTGAGAAGGCCCGTAGAGGTGCCAATAGAGCTTAAAGTACGAGCTTTGCTCTAGCAAAGCTTGCGCCCAAAACCCTCAGCATACACACACTTTCGATGAACTGGCTTAAAAAGAGAACATTGACTGCTGAGCGGTGCATTTTACAATATCGTATTTCGCATTTTTTTACGTCGCATTTTTATTGTATTAAAGAATAGTAACGCCTTAAGACCAGTTAGTTCTAGCTCTCGTATCTGATGTAGCAACAGAAAAATGTCCTTCATTTAACTACTCAAATCGTGTCATTTATCGCAACAACTTAAAAAAGAGGCACTAGGACTTTGTGGGCGTTTAAATTTTGTATCAAAGAACACTTCAAGCCAAGGTGTCTGAAAGTTACCAATATTAAACATATACATGTATATTTCATAACAAATATATATTGTTGCAGGAATTTATGAACAGAAGCAAGCATTTTCCCACACACTATTCAAGTATGCGAATGTCTAAGCACCGTCTTAGAATTACAGCTTTTCCGTAAACTAAAGGACACCACGTGAATAGATGACGAGTGTGGATAAGACCGTGATATGAGTAGTATCACACTTGAGTGAATTCCTAACATAACACATACAAAAAATGGAATTAAATTATGCATTCTACTTTAATTCTTGTTTGGTTAAATAATGAGTTCACGAGCATGGAAAATAAAGATGATATGAAAAAATTAACCATTAAAAGCTCTAATAAATCAGTAATTGAAATTAAAAAAAAAATAAACCAACGAGCCAAATATTCTGGCGGCCTGACTGCACTGAACTTCAAACCTACAGCATCGACGTGATAACTAAACGAGGCACAACATTCGGGTGTCATGTGTCTTGTTTGCTGAGCATCAACGGCTTTATAAACGACTGTATGAAGTATTATAATAATTATTATTAGGAATGATTACACGAGCCTTCATCAGAAAATCTGGAAATGTTAACGAAGTTTCTTGAAGCCACTTCCTGTCAATATGAGAAATCTCAATTAATATAGGTCTATAAGCATGAACTCTGTCAGGATATTTTTATTAAAGGTGATCAATGCGCCATGAACATACATAAGGAATAAATATCAAGCTCTCGATACAGAAGTTTGAAAACGGGAATGGAGACGAAAACAAGATCAATGGAAGCAATCTGGGACATGATGGCCTCAGTCTACATATTGAGCAAAGATAATATTCACTGCTAATAAATTCTATCGAAGCCTAAAACCAACTTATGACGCAGAGAAAACGTCATCACAAACAGATGCGCAAGATTCTTCTTTAACGTTAAAGCTCTCGATGAATTTACTAAGTCTGTCATTCTTATTGGCACAGAAGTTCTTGAAGTCATGCAGTAACAGCTCGCCGAACGCTTCTTCCCCAGAGGCGGCTGCCTTCCAGCGCTTAGACATCATGTAGTTGAATGACCACAGGAAGCCGGGAGACTGAACGAAAAAACGGCTTTGTTAATAAATTAATCGCAACCAGAATGCGAACCTTCTCAAAATGATTTAATTCCAGATCGTTACTGGGGATAGTTGATGACCACGGCCACATCCGACGTCTTTTAATAAAATGCATTCAAATAAGCAACAATTGGTAAGACTGTTTGATCGTTGGTATTTGCACGATGATGTAAAAATTTGCCGACTATAACAATTAGTGAACCAGGAAATGAACTTTACCAAATGGCCACTGATGAAATAAAGACCGTCGTCTTGAATTTAATTTCATCAAATCGCGCGTTTACTCACGCTAGTGCGTGCTAGAAGTTAGTTTTCCATAGTATGCGATTTTTAATTTCGAATTTAAACCTGACATAATTCTGGAAGAGAATTCGTGAACTGAATGCATGCAGCATAAATAGAGGAGCAGTAATTCTCTTCGAAATCATCATTGCCAATTACCTTTCGTACTTTTGCTGCATTTGTACGTTAAAAAGCCTTCGAATACATCATGCAAGTGATACATCCGTTTTGTTTAACAAGTTCTCAAGTAGATTTAATTGAGCGAACTAAAAACGAACAAAATTATAAAAGTTTTCCCTGCAGTATACACAATTCGGGTGCAAGATGCAACAAATAGGTTTTCAATTAACTGAGCAATTGAAAGCAAACTAAACTATTAACTCAGTACCTCACGTATTCACTCAATAGTATTCTAAACTCACGTATTCACTCAACAGTATTCTTAACTCACGTATTCACTCAATAGTATTCTAAACTAACATACTAAAATACTATTCCCCACACTCACTTGCTGCAGACAGAAGCGAGACTTGTCAGAGTTGCAGGCAGCAGCGTGGGCAGCGGAGGGCGCGGCGCTGGCCTTGTGGTGCTCCGACATGAGGCGGTGGAAGTACTCCTCGTGAGGGCTGGCCACTAGGCTGCCCACGCTGCTGCTGCTCTCCACGCCCATCACCTGCTAGCAATACACAAACTTCAACACAATATAATAATAATAATGTTAACGTAATAATGTAGAGGGCATGAATCCATTGCAGCTTCTATAAAAGTAAGAAATACATTCGTGAAAAAAATGAAATAGCTGCTATAGCAAGCAACATAAAATATAGAGCAAGAAAGTGAGGGCAATAAAACCACTGCCACTCCAGTAATATAAAGGCACCAACTGTAGTACATTATGTATTTTCAAACATTTTTTCAAATCAAAGAAGTACAATACAAAATTGGCTGGCATACAATATCGAATAATCTGAAGTTCATCAAATCATATAGTGTGATGTAAACCAAAAGTTAAGAGCGCGAAGTATTCAAAGATTCAAAGTAAAAAAATTCAAAGGACAAAAAATTGATTCGGTAATTTTAAGTGACATGCACCCAGGACCAAAAGGGTAGCTTTGTATTCAAAAAAGGTGACCTATGATGAACTAAAACATTCAAATTTCCGGTCGCCCTTTAATTGATGTGTCTATATTTGTCCCAATGGCAAACAACGCACAAGAATCCCCATGTGTGCAACATGTGCGGTGTTAAAAAACTGGATAATGGAATGCAATTCGTCAGTTTACCAGCCGTGAATGCCGTATATATCGTATCAGTTTTAGGTATCGTACTGATATACATATCGCATGTTAGTTTACCAGCTGTGATATTAATATATTCCATGTACTCCAGACGTGCCTCAATAAGAAGTGAGGAAGGTCGGGGCAGTGGGGGATCTGTGAACCTCGCAGGGGTAAAAGAAGGCGCAACGGGAGCGCTGTCTTCAGTGCCGCTGTCGGCCGCTCCTGACACCACTGAGAAATACCGATAGTTTTGCGTATGAAAAAATTAGATGACAGTTTAAGTGTGGCGATGATAGATATGAGGTGAACAATAATTGAATATTCTACTCGCAACACCTATTGGCTTAGGATATCCGATTAATACGGATGATGCACCTTTATCACGATGATGAGTTATCTAGGAAGAACCTACTAATGTTGGTAGTGTTGCTTGTTGTTGATAATTACAACTTCAAATATAATGGCATAACTTCAATTATTTATCCATATTTTTTTAGTTTCCAATTTGATTAATAAAGCAAAGCATAAACTTTGCATAAACTACAATGAGAATTACTCATGTTCACAAATTTGGATACAAACAAGTTCTTCAGAAACATTTAACATTTCAGAAAACATTAAAATCTACCTGGTAAAAAGATCAATGGAAATTCAACAAGAACGAGCTCTTTTTTTAATTCTCAATAGAAGAATATAACCGATATAGGAAAAAGCACCAATTTAAGAATAAAACCATCAACAAAGAACCAAGTTCTCATAAGTTACTTTAGTTCACGAAGGCTAAGTTTACAAAAGACCTGTAACACTGGCGTGGCTGTCTGGCTGGATATCCACAATACCGGGCGTGAGGACCATAACGAACGCGTTGCCGCTCACGTGCACGAACTGGTTGTGGTCGTTGCTAGGGACGCTGCTGGTGCTCGCCATCAGGTCGTTTTGTAGGCGAACAAAACCGTACTTTGCTAGGATGGCTTCCTGTCAATATAAACCACCGATAAGATACACGCTAAACCAGGGTTATACCATATTTTTGATGAACATCAACTATTGGCCATGAGAAATTTTTCAGATGAATTGTACATTTTTAAGAAAAATTCATATATACCGAAAAATTTACCGTCGAAAAAACCGTACCCAACGTTGTTGTGACCATATCGTAAAAAAGAAAAATGACACTCGTTTAGTCTGAAAAACGAGCGACTTGAGGCGTTCAGCTTAACTATCATCACGGTCAATCGACGTAAAAATTGCAATCAAAGACGTTTTGTTACGTTAACTTTTGACTTTTTTCGCTCACAAAATTTGCAGAAGCCAAGAACACCAGAAAAACTCCTAAGACTAACCCGCTATGACAACGTAAAAAAGGGACAGGAGCGCCAAATGTAAACACGAGCAGGTTAAATGTCAAAATAAACATCGCGATGTTGCCTCCACCCTCCATGCAGCCACACTGAATAATTATCTAAAAAGTGAAATGTAATTGACTGATAAAGGTGCGCCGAGAAAACAGTTTATCTGATGAGACTTGCCTGCAAGAGTCGTGTCCTGAGCGGTCTCGTGTTGCTTGGGAACTTGGCGAACACGTCGTGCTTGGGACAGAGCCTCAGTGCCGGCCTGAGCTTGTTCTTGATGTGCGAGGAGCTGCCTTTTTCGTCAGTTGCTGACGAAGGTGAACCCAAGCCTATGCCGGGCGAAATGGTTTTGAATGTGAAGATAATATCCCGAGGTCGCTATTCAATATACAGTGAGGATAATATCCTAATGAGAGAATAATATCCCGAGATCGCTATTAATTCTACCGTGAGGATAATATACTAATGTGAGGATAATATCCCGAGATCGGTATTTATTCCAGGAATTTTAAACAACAATAGCCAGTTACAAGTACAGGCGTAGAGTAGTTTCCCTTCCAACCCCCCTCCCAAAAAAAAAAAAAAATTCTGTGGCTACTGCAATCATTTAATAATTAATTATTGAATAAAAAGTAACAAAAATTGATTAAAAAATCAGCACATTTTTGGACCTTTCATTAACATCATCAACATTTAATATTGTGATTGTGATAATAATAAACACATTAGCATTTAATATTATGAGTTTAAATAGTCAAATTTTAGTATAGAATGAAAAATGTTTCAAAATTTTTTCTCTATCCATTGATTGAAGCCATGTACAGTTAATCCGTACAATAATCAGGGCATTTAACCAAAAAATTGCTCATTCACAGTTTGGTAACAAATCAGGCTCAAGTCTGTTATTTACTCGGGGGTTACAAATCAGGTTTAATTCTGTTACTTTTTCTCTTCCTGGCAAATCATGTTTAAGTCTGTCAGTTTCTCTTGCTTGCAAATCATGTTTATGTTTGTTAGTATCTGGAGTGTAGAGCTGACCCCGAGACGCAGTGCAGGGCGGGTTACAGGACATGACGAGGGGCAGGTGCAGGGGCCCTCTGAGCGGGTCGCAGTCCAGGGAGTGCGGCAGAGCGAAGGGATCTGACGGGATGGGGAACAGGAAGAGGTTGCAGCTCGCAGCGCGTCGTTGCCACAGTGCAATCTGTAAGCGGATTATGCTCGTGTACCATACATTCTTTCGTATTATTTAATGAGAAGTTGTTATTCATATTATTATTTCAAAGTTATGTCAGAAATTTTCATTCACACTTTGTTTGAAACCAAAGAGCGCGTTTTCACTTGTACATTACAAGAAGTTTAGTTCAAAGTAACTGAAAACTTTGAACTTACAGCAACAACTCAAAACACAGAATATGTGCTTCTCTGCGACCAGTTCGGTAACTAAAAGTGCAACAAACTCTCAACAAACTGAAAAAGTGCATCACACTCACCAGCTCAGCGACCAGAGGGCCACTTGCGCACATCCAGCGCAGGCTGAAGAGGTAAGCAGAGTCGCAAGAGAAGGACGACGTACACACCAGGTCACCCCATTCACTTCTGTCGCTGCGACGATGAGGGTCGATACTGATGGGCCCCAGACTCACCAGGCGGCCTGACACACAAGCTACATCATACCGGACCGTGTATACAGGGTCCACATTACCTATAACCGGTACCGGTCCACATTACCTACCTATACAGGGTCCACATTACCTATAAATGAATGTATATAGTAAAAAGAAAGGGGTCCACATTGCCTATAAATTTACGTATATAGTAAAAAGAAAGGGGTCCACATTACCTATAAATTAATGTATATAGGAAAAAGAAAAAGGTCCACATTACCTATAAATTTACGTGTATAGTAAAAAGAAAAGGGTCCACATTACCTATAAATTTACGTATATAGTAAAAAGGGGTTCACATTACCTATAAATTTACGTACATAGAAAAAAGAAATTTGTTATGAAGTGAGCTCAAAATCTGTCATGCTTTTTAGAAAATTTAAACTGTTATCAAAATATACCGAGTCGGCCTCTTACCAGCCGATGTTCTGAATGGCTGAGCGAGGGGCGGTAAGTCCCTCTGCAGGAATGGTGGTAGAGCGGCGCTGTCGTCGACGACGGAAGGAGAGTCTTGAGCATAAGGATAATTACCGTATGCTTCAACAGGTTTTATTTCGACTTCATGGAACTCCTGGCAGTAAGTGTCAGGATTGCTGGTGCGGTCTTGTTCCTTGTCGCCGGTGACCAGGAAGTAGATGTAGAAGCCGTAATATACGGTGGTGCGCTGGTGTCCAGAAGCGTGCCGTATGTAGTCGTCCGAGCATAAACGCTGAAGTAGATTCATGGCGTCAGTGTGGGTGTTTACGTTACTTACGTGTTCTCTCAACCATACAACAGCATCGGTTGAAAGGAAAGATAAAGGAGGCAAACTAGAGTGCGGAGGCGAGAAAAAATTGAGACCAGTACCGGTGGACTTCATGGCAGCGGCAATGTCAGCGAGGTCAGAATCGGACGAAAGACTTCGTTTCCCTTCAACCAGGGCGGCGGTAATATTGGGACTCTGAGAAGACGACACGGTTGACTGAGCGATGCTGCTCACCATTCCTTCTGACGGGAAGAGCGCTTCTCTGGCTCTAATGTCACCGTTCAAGTCAGGAATATTGAGCTGCTTGGTTGAGACATCAGGGCCGCTGCTGCCGCTCAACATTCTCTCCCTGACGAGGGAGGCGTTACTCTGCTGCACAGGGCCCTCACGAGCGCTCATTGAACGTTCACGTACACCACTACTGCCGGGGTTACCTGGCATGCTGCCAGAATCAAGATTTGGGAAAACGCCTTGTGCTGGCATTTTGGGTCTCTTCACAACTTGCCGTTTGATCCTGTGGATCATTTCAAAGAACTTGATGAAGGATTCGTTGATTGCACTTCGTTGTAGTGAAGAGGGAGGGGAATAAATTCCAGCGTCGGGAAAATTTTTCCAGTCATCCATAAGTTGACGCAATATGGAGCAGTACAAGTCAGGCACGACCACCATGCGCATCCGCCAGTACTTCAGTTCCTGAAACGTTCATTATTTCTTAAATATTGTTAATATATACATGGATACGTGTCATGAAACTGCGTTGGTCAGTAGAATAGAATAGTGGTAACAGCGTTCATCACAGGCCGTAGGCCTGTCGCCGATTATTAACATCGGAAAACATTCACATCTTGTTGCGGTCTTGAACATGCAACTCACTGCACGAATTTTGCTTTGCTTTACCGCCCGGCCTCCTCACCGATTCTGACCAGAAACTGGCGCACAGAGCTGGGATCGAACCCGCGCCTCTCTACTTCAACCTAGTACGTGTACTCTGAACTGTAACCATTGGGCCACCCTACCCAGTAAAACGAAAAGCAACCTTCTTTCAGATGAATCCAACAAAGAAGCAGAAGACAGTTAGTAAATAGCAACTCCATCATGGCACGGCAATACAGTGCAGCTTATCAAAAGAATTATAAAGATGTTTAAAAATTCAATTGCACATTTATTTTTGCAGGTTAGATTAATATCACAATCGCTATCACTTAATAATGAGTCACCTCAATTAGAGGATTTTCGAAGGAGTCCGAATAAAGGCTGACGTAATTATCGAGGTAATTCCACTTGTAGCGGTCAAGTCGCTCTGTCTGGAACTTCGTTGACGACAGCTCGTAGCCCGTCATGTAGGGTGCGCAGAACCGGTATTTGTAGTCTTTCGTCAAAGTCTCAGACATAATCCTGTGTAAATTATATCATGAAGAAGTGATAGTTCTGTATATACATTCAAAACGTCCAACTTTGCAGGATAACAAATCTCATTTCAACCGACAGAGAGCGTTGATAACTCGTTATCAGCATGGCTTTTCACATCAAGGTGTTGTATACAGAGATTTTGTATTCAACTCAGCATACGATATGACTTGACGTCAAACCTTGGTCTGTATACGCTGGCTTCAATGTGTGCTCATACAGAGATTTGGTAATCAACTCGGCATACGACATAGCTAGATGTGAGGGCGTCAAACCTGGGTCTGCATACGCTGGCTTCAATGTGTGCTCATACAGAGATTTCGTAATCAACTCAGCACACGATATGGCTCGCGTCAAACCTGGGTCTGTATGCGCTGGCTTCAATGTGTGCTCATACAGAGATTTTGTAATCAACTCAGCATACGACATAGCTAGATGTGAAGGCGTCAAACCTTGGTCTGTAAACGAATGCGCTGGCTTCAATGTGTGCTCATACAGAGATTTTGTTATCAACGCAGCATACGACATAGCTAGATGTGAAGGCGTCAAACCTTGGTCTGTATACGCTGGCTTCAATGCGGTTATTCCCAACGAGTTTGAGTTTGTGGAAGAGGGTGCCGATGGAGAGCTTGTACTCGGGATGATGGTCGGCGCTCCTGCTGCCCACGTGAGGCTTCATTTCCAGCGCAGGCAGACCAGGCGACCCTGCGTACCTGAACGCTGCGCTGCCGCCCCCAGTCGTGCCACGACCACCGCCCTGCTATACGCAGTCATTTACCTCAGTACATCAATGAGTACATTAGTGAGTAGTGAATGTAATGTACTCACTAATTTAGTGAGTACATTAGTGAGTAGTGAATGTAATGTACTCACTAATTTAGTGAGTACATTAGTGAGTTTAGATTAGTGAGTACATTAGTGATTACATTAGTGAGTGAATTAGTGAGTACATTAGTGAGTACATTAGTGAGTACATTAGTGAGTACTTTAGTGAGTACATTAGTGAGTACTTTAGTGAGTACATTAGTGAGTACGTTAAGGAGTACATTAGTGGATACATTATTGAGCCAATCTTTTGCAAACAAACTCTCTGGCTAACCCGATTCCGGTCAACATAATTGATCACTCAAGACACAAGAGCATGCAGCATCTCTGGTGGTGCTGAGAAGCGCAAGAATTTCGAATGTTTCACCATAAACTTATAACTTCACTACCCAACAAATAATAATTATTCAAGGAATTTTATTGCAAATCAACAAAAGAACAAAAAACGTTTGAATTGGCTAAACAGTTTGATCAAAAACTTATTGGCCGGAAATTAAATAGACGTTTCTGCTCAGTTCCTATAAAGATAAAAGTCCACAAGGTTTGAAGGTTTCACATCCACGACGACTTACGGCAAATTGAAGCAAACTTGACTGAGCTGAAGGAAAAAATCTTTAGACACGAGCGATCGGCCTAAATTATAATAATATACGTTTAAAAATTACTTTTTAAAGACAACACTTCCAAAGAATCCAGTGTCTCCAATCTTACAGATGTACAATGAATTTCTCATCTAATTTTCGAATATTACAGAAATTAATTTTTCAATTTTTTTAATATATAAATGTTTTATTACATAAATTTTTTTTTCAAAATTATTTATTCTATTAATTGATTCATGCATTGCCTCTGACTTCACACAAGTGTGCAAAATTTCAGATCAATTAGACAGGTAAAAGTGTGTCAAATATCAGTTATAAGATTTGTAGCTGTCAAAATTATTTTTTCAATTTTTTTAATATAGAAAAAAAACAAAAATTTTTTAATCATTTATTTCGACATTTGATTCATGCATTGTCTCCAACTTTACACAAGTGTGCAAAATTTCAGATCGATAGGATAAGTAGAAGTGTATTAAATTTCGATTACAAGATTTTAGCAGACAGACAAACAAACAAACAAACAGACAAGAAGTGAAGTTAAAGAAGTGTTGTAATAAAATATAGGAACAAGTAAGAGAAAGGTGCTCACGGAAGATGTGCTCTGCCACTCCTGAGAGGCGGTGAGACTTCTCTTCTTGCGCCGCCTCCTGAGGCCGTGGCCACTGCGAGCCACGTCGTCCTTGGGGAGGATCAGCTGGAAGCCCTGAGGGTACGGGGGGAGATGTTATACGAGGTCAGCCCCGTGGGGAAAAACGGCATGCAGCATTGCAGATAATCGGCGCTATGCAGCAAGGTACATGGGGAGAAATGGGGACAAATGAGGTCCATGGAGACAAATGAGATCCATGGGACAAATTTGTGTAGAAACGAACACTAAAAACAACAGAGATTTTGTAATTAACTCAGCATACGATATGGCTTGATGTGAGGGCGGTATTGGGGCAAATCAAGAAATTACTCAAGTTATGATTATTATAATTTCATTTAAAGTTAGGATGCAGGCGTTGAGAAGGTTAGGAATGTGGCTCGAAGCGATTGTATTGTGTGTAAAACACAACTTTTTCCAGACCGTGAAACCGAGTTTGTTTACTTCGAATGTCGGAGAGTTTTTCACGAGTAATTCTGCGTCACTTGCGAGGGTAGGAGCTGAATTCCAGTTTTATAAAAGGAGCTAAATTCTAGTTTTTCTGAAGTCACAGTCACGGAGCGCGGTCTGCACTCGAGTGCAGAAGTCGTGACGACAGCGGCCAAGAGGCCAGCGGCTTTGCCCGTTTTCGAATAGTAACGGTTGCAAGAAACTAAACTCGACCATATTATAGCTACGATACCTGCATAAGCATCTACAATCTACAATGAAGACTAAGACTTGGTTACAATAATTAGTAAAATAATTGATAATTTTTTTTTAATTCATACTTTTTAAAAATTATTAGTGCCAACATCAATGCAAAGGCCACGCCGGTAGTGACAACACGAGAAGCCATATACCAGACTTGCAGCGATTATAAATCCGACAATGCGGTTATTCAAGTAGAAACATTTAATTCAAAGTGCTTCACATTTAATTATCCGCATAAGAAGCAAGAGTGATGTTTCCATTGAGATAAATGTCAATTCCATTGGGACAAATGTCAACTTCTGAATTTATTCAGGTGTCTCATTTTTATAGAAGTGTTTTTTTTTGCGAATTTGAGTACCTTTATTTCCGCCAATTTAATTTCAAATGTAGAAGTGTTCCATTTTCACCCACTCGTACTCCATTTACCATAATAAATTCCTAGAGAGCCTTCAACAAAAACGTGCATTGTTGACCATCTCGTGCCAGATACGTTACCGAAATTAATGTTTTTTCAATGCAATGGAAATGAGGAGGAATTTTGAACATAAAGAAATTGGAATGTATAAACAATAAGCACAAGAGGTTTCATAAAGTCACCTGAGAGAGGCGCTGCGAGACGAGCTCTTTGAAGACCTGCGCCGCCGTCATGTGCGAGCGCCCGAAGGTGGCGGGCAGCGCCTGCGAGCTGGAGCTGCTCGCTGACACGCTGGGGACGAGGCGACATGTCAGCACACACAGGGGGCGTGGCCAGCACCGTCAGCACACACAAGGGGCGTGGCCAGCACCGTCAGCACACACAAGGGGCGTGGCCAGCACCGTCAGCACACACAAGGGGCGTGGCCAGCACCGTCAGCACACACAAGAGCAGGTCTGTACTTCACAGTACGAGCTACACAACAATCCTGACCGTAGCTCGCTCTATAGCCACTCACTAGTGTTACTTGTGGTTGTTCACCCTAGAGCCACTTAATAAATCGTTAACAATAAATTATATTGCCCAATATTTGGGCAATATAAGGGGTTCCTCTTACTTGTGAGGGGCGTTGAGAGGCTCGTTGATGTCATCAGGCAGGAGCGCGTAGTTGCTCAGCACGTAGCCCACTCACTAGTGTTACTCACTACTCTTACTTGTGAGGGGCGGTGAGAGGCTCGTTGATGTCATCAGGCAGGAGCGCGTAGTTGCTCAGCACGTAGTCCACTCACTAGTGTTACTCACTACTCTTACTTGTGAGGGGCGTTGAGAGGCTCGTTGATGTCATCAGGCAGGAGCGCGTAGTTGCTCAGCACGTAGTCCTTCTCGATGCTCTCCTCGGACGGGAAGAAGTCCGTCGTGATGGGCAGACACGCGGGCAGCGTCAGGCTCTTCCAGTCAACGCCTGCACCACATTTGTGTCAAAGACATCACAATTATTCACAAATTTATACATCTCAGCATGTTTTTAGCTAATATATTCCAGCTGAACTCGAGTATTCTCGTTGAATAATTCGTCAACGCCTGCCACCACATTTGTGTCAGGGACATCACACTTATTCACAAATTTATCCTACATCTCAGCATGTAATTAGCTAATATATTCCAACTGAACTCAAGTACTATCATTGAATGATTCCATCAGTGGGAAATAGGAAGCTATCGAATGGCATAAGATCCTATGAATGCAAATTACAGTAATTCAAGACCGATTACAAAATAGTTCGAACAAGGCAACAACTGTTGCAGCACTTACAAGTCAAATCTGCGCACTTTATTTAGAAACGATAAACAGGTTGAAACTTTATTACTTAAGTATGGAAACGGTTAACCAAATAACGCTGAATTGTAACCGCTGTCAAAAATGCACCACTTCAATTTTTTTCATTTTATATCGTGCAGTGAAGTTCTTTCTGCTCTCACGTCCGTCGTATTTGTACACTCTATACATCATCCCGACTGTAATTCATTTGAATATCAATAGAAATACGGGAATCATTGGGAAATAACACAAAAATTATAAAAATTATCGGTATTTAGACTCGTCGAAGTCGTTGTCATTCATGAGAGACGCGTTTTAGACACCCCGGTGGCCCTCAGGAACAGACCCGTGGTGATGGCGGCGCTCCACTCCTGCTCGCCGGTGGCGCCCCACAGCAGCGTGTCGTGGGCTGTGGGCCCCAGGTGCCCCAGCGACGCGCGGTCTGTGGCATGGAGGGTAGTAGAGGGGGGAGGAGGGTAATGGTGGAGGGTGGTAGAGGGAAGGAAGAGGGCTGAGAGGGAAGGAGGAGGGCTGAGAATGATGGTGGGGGCAGAGAGGGAAGAAGGAGGGTAGAGAGGGGAGGAGGAGGGCAGAGAGGGAAGGAGGGCAGAGAGGGAAGGAGGGCAGAGAGTGATGGTGGAGGGCAGGTAGAAGTCTTCTCGCGAATAAAGTGAACAAAATAAAGGTGCGTAACACAATAACGACACGGCAATATTTAAACAGAAAGCAAAAATTTGAACTGGCAATCAGCTTATTGACCTATCCTACAGGCAAAATTGCCAAAGGACACTTAATAACTCGTGGCAAAATTTTGCATTTTTGGTAAATAAAATTAATAGAAAGAATTTGATGCATCACAGAAAACAGTTTGAATTATTTTTTTGCATCTGAAGGACATGGAATAAAACAAATCAAGATTATAGAACTTAGCCAGCACGAGTCTAGTGATGAAACTAAACTTACGTTTATGGATGCCTAGCATGGAAGGTGGTCGCGATGAAGACGTCTGCAAGGAAGCAAACAATTAGACGTTTAACTAACACCCTTGGCGAATTCATGGCGGTAATAGAATGCTGAACATTCAAATTAATGAATTTTGACAGGCAAAATTCAGTACGGGAACTTATTCCTACAATTGGCTCGTCAACGATGAACTTTTTTTACAATTGTCATACGTTAATCTTGCCAACGAATATAATTTGAATTGTTTGGAAAAACATACTCTCACTTTCTACAGCATTCCACCCGAGCGTATAAAGAAGAACACTCAGCACACAGTGCGTAAATGTAATCCACGACACTACATGCCCATATATATAGCATAATATCTTCGTGTTTAATGACATCACGTGTGAGTAAGAACTGCCTCCAGGGGCCATACTTTAAAAACTCGCTAAGTGAACGTAAGTACTTACGCTCTATTTTCTTGTCTACGATTGGTGCACTTTGCTTGAAAGGCGCCAATGATTGGCTGATGAACTTACGATCTCTTAACTTTTTTGAAAGTATGGCCCCAGACTCACGCTGCCGGTGGCATCATTGCCTGCAGCAGGGGCGTTGTTCCTGCCCATCTCGAGGTTGTCGTGGGTGTTCACAGGCGCCCCCACGGGCGACTCTTCCTCCTGCAGGTTGCCCAGGACGTCAGTCTCGAGCTCGTCTTCGGAGCTCGACGGGTAAGTCGTCAGATCTTTCTTGAGGGCGACATCCTCCTTGTGGTGCTGCTGGATCAGAGCGCCCGAGACGTCTGTACGAAATTACTCTTGTCGTGACTCTCGTCGCGAATAAAAAAAATAAATGCAGAGCTATGACCTATGAATATTCTACGTCATCGAACGTAAGTGTCTGCAATAACGAGTAACTAGCCCCGTTTATTTTGGCAGCACAACGTTCTGAAACCATGAACACTACTAAGCCTGGTCGCTGTCTACCCGCAATTTCATAACCGCCCGAAACTTTTCGCGTAAAATTTTATTCGATTTACGATAATTTTATATTCACACCATCTCCTAATATTTCCCACGGGTAATAAATGGAAATAAATAGCTGGATCAGCATACGAAACTCAAGACAGTGATTTAATTGAAGCTACTTCGTGAAAGACTTTCAAGGAGCCGAAGCCAACCAGACTGAAGGTGCACGCGCTGGCCCAAAATCCCAACTTGAACTCCCTCAAATATGCTTCTTACGGGATTAAAAAGTCGCAATTAATAACGGCAATGCTTAATTTCGGCGTATGCTTCTTACGAGACTAAAAAAATCGCAATGCATAAAGGCGAGGCTTAATTTCAGCGTGTGGCTTACTTTTGGGGAAGATGTGCACCCAACGGCGGCGGTAGCTCGTGAGTCTGATGGTCGTGTACTTGGGGTCGAAGGGGTTGATCAGCGGTGGCGCTCCTCCACGAATTGCCTGCAAATTAACATTTTGATCATTCACTTTAGAACATAATTCGAAGTCTAACTTGGATAATTCACCCCGATCATTTTCAAGTATTTCAATACAGCTGTCCCTGTTGATTTTCAGCTCGGCAACAATAATAATCGTAATAAAAACAAAATGAAGAATAATGTAGCATTTGCTTTCGTCACCTTACGCGGCTCAAAATCGAGCGAGTTTGGCACGGGTTCCTCAAAGACCAAGTCAATCAGCACGAGAGAAATACACCAGAAACATCAGGCACCATATAATAAACATAAAAGAAATTATATGTCTAGACGTCTTCAATGAGTGAACTGGCCACAATGAATAATATTGAAATATAGCTTCATTTATTGATAACGAAGAATGCTTGCAATCGTAAGATGCTTTTGAGGCCCTGAAGCGATCAATATCTGGGGTGGCAAGAATACGAAATTCAGAAAATAACTTGCTAGAATTTAATGAAAAAAAAAAATCTTTAGAATGATAGTGCGAGGTACAAGAAAAAGCATTTTAAAAGTGAGTTACATACCAGATTATTACCGGTTACAGGACCTATAAATGAATTAACCGGCAAAGTGATAGTGACACGCTTAAAAACAATCCACGTTTTTCAGGGGATATTGATTGGTATTGATTATTAATCGCCGTGAGAGCCAAATATAGGAGAGGAACGGTCGTGCAAGACTCACATCATACACGCTTAAAAACAATCCTCGTATTTCAGGGGATATTGATTGGTATTAATTGTTGATGACCGTGAGAGCAAAATACACCAGAGGAAACGGTGGTGCAAGACTCACATCATAGGCTGGTGGAGCCTCGAGGTCCTCTTCTGACGCGGCGACGGCAGCGGCCGCAGCGTCGCCTACTGCACGGGACAAATGCAGGGGCGTTAGGGCTGGCGATGGTAGGGGGGAGTTGTGCCTTTAGCGAGGGGGGAGTTGTGCCTTTAGTAAGGGGGAATTGCGCCGTTAGTAAGGGGGAGTTGTGCCTTTAGTAAGGGGAATTGTACCTTTAGTAAGGGGGAATAGTGCCTTTAGTGAGGGGGAGTTGTGCCTTTAGTGAGGAGAATAGTGCCTTTAGTAAGGGGGAGTTGTACCTTTAGTAAGGGGGAATTGCGCCGTTAGTAAGGGGGAGTTGTGCCTTTAGTAAGGGGGAGTTGTGCCTTTAGTAAGGGGGAGTTGTGCCTTTAGTAAGGGGGAATTGTACCTTTAGTAAGGGGGAATTGTACCTTTAGTAAGGGGGAATTGTACCTTTAGTAAGGGGGAATTGTACCTTTAGTAAGGGGGGATAGTGCCTTTAGTGAGGGGGAGTTGTGCCTTTAGTAAGGAAGGATCGTGCCTTTAGTAGGAGGAAATATTCCATTGAGAGTCAAGAATTCTACCATTAACGGCGAGGAATCCTGCCGCTAGAAAGGAGGAATCTTACAATTTGTAGAAAATAATTATGGCTTGGGTGAGCAGGAATCATTATGCAAGGAATTACTGGCCACGGGCTGCGCTATAAAAACTCGCTTAAGCACAAGTATAGCGGCCGGATTTCTAGTCTATTATTTGTCGGTTTGGTTTGTGAAGACCTCAGTGATTAGCTGACGACGTTACAAACTCGTAGCTATTTTTGACAGTACTGCCCCCAGCCTAACATGACGCAGTACTCACATTCAAGGTTAAGGGCGCCGTATGACTGCGACGACTGCCTGGTGTAGTGCACGCGGTAGCTGGTCGCAGTGGGGGGCGTTGCAGTCACACCGCCCCCCTCGGTGTCACTCGTCCCTGTCTGTCGCATGACCAGGCATTCATCACCTTCATTGTTTCTTCCTTGCATTATGCTCATTATTCTTGATACATTTAAAGAATTAAAATTAAATGTAATAGGTTCAGACGGTTTAATTGTTGTTTATTTATTCTAACAGTTAATTTACCCCTGCAATTTATTGCAGGAGGGCAATGGCAGGTTTTCTTAAATGTATCATTATTCTTGATAAATTTAAAGAGTTCAAATTAAATGCAATAGGTTCAGACGGTTTAATAATTGTTTATTTATTGTAACAGTTAATTTACTTCTGCGAATTATTGCAGGAGAGCAATTTTAGTTGGCTTCGAACTTGTATTGATTGGCAGGTAAAAAAATTATAGATGTCCGGCAAGTAGAAATACATGGTATAAATTAACTTAAGGAATCAAATTTCAAGAATATAATGTTAAATTATATAACTTGTGAAATTAAATAATTTAAATAATTCAATTTAAATTCGTAACCCGATCAATGCGAGCATCTCTCGTGCAGGCACGAGGATATAGCAAGCGAACCCTCACGGCCAGTAGTGGCCGCCAGTAAAAAAGGTCATAAAAGAACAGAGTAACCATTTAGAAGAAGTCAGTAGCATGATACTTGGTCTTGCTTCACATTTTAAAGTTGTTTATACTGGCCGCCACTATAATACTGTCCCTGAGAACAAGTAGTCTTGCTTCACATTTTAAAGTTGTTTATACTGGCCGCCACTATAATACTGTCCCTGAGAACAAGTAGTCTTAGTTCACATTTTAAAGTTGTTTATACTGGCCGCCACTATAATACTGTCCCTGAGAACAAGTAGTCTTGCTTCACATTTTAAAGTTGTTTATACTGGCCGCCACTATAATACTGTCCCTGAGAACAAGTAGTCTTAGTTCACATTTTAAAGTTGTTTATACTGGCCGCCACTATAANACCATACACGATACTAATCATTCACCATACACGATACTAATCATTCACCATACACGATACTAATCATTCACCATACACGATAAATAACAGCGAAGAAGACATTTATTATGATTAATAACGGGAAAGTAGTATGATACTCAGATAATCACGCTATAAAACTGAAAGTTGTAATGTAATAGAGAGTAGAAAAAGAGTACGAACAAATGAATTTGACTTCTTGAAGATTGTGTACGGAGTGTTGGAATGCTTGAGATTTAAATTAATGGAACTCATTTCCTATGTCGTTACCTGCTTGTTATAATTAACTATGAATCCTATTAGTCGTGTTAATAACCGACTCACTCACTCACACGATATGTTTGTGAGTGAACATTCAATTTTACATATCAGTATTTAATATACGGTATTGCAGACATATTCAACTTTTATTTGGTGAAATGATTATGGGCCCCAAATTAAAGTAAAAATCGCTACCACAAAGATATTATGGGTAAAATTTATCTCCATTTTACTCTATTTACATTAAAATGAAACGAACAAACTGCTCCTGATTCAGCACTAATGCATAATGTTTTCATTTAATCATACAAATGCAGAAAAAAGTTTAGCACCAACGAAAAAAATCAAGGGAAACCTTACACGTTTAATATATGTAGCAAAATAATATGTAGCAAAAATACAAACGTTCAGCACAGAATTGTTTAAACAACAAAGAGCGTTCACGAGAAAAAATGCCGCGTCGTACTCACCCATAAGGCTTGACAGGATATTTGAAAATAGCTTCATCATACGCATTCATGTGCGCCTCCAGCTCAGCCGTGGTCATGTCAGAGCGGAAGTCTGCATTTGATGCGGGATGATGGCTGAATCCTTCAGCGTCCGTCCTACAGGACCGGCCTTCAGCGTCCGTCCTACTAGACCGACCTTCAGCGTCCGTCCCACTAGACCGGCCTTCAGCGTCCGCCCTACTGGACCGGCCTTCAGCGTCCGTCCTACCAGCCCGGCCAGCTGTGGTATCCTGGCCACTGCTTGATTTCCTACTGACCGCCTCGAATCCTTTGTATGAACTTGACTTGCCAGGCTCGGCATCTTTTCCATTGCTTGATGCAGGTTTTTTAAAACTGTAATCGGATTCTTTACTGTTTACACCAGTAGCTTTTGCAGTCTCTGTATCGCTACAATTAGGGAACTGTTTACAAGTTGTTCCCCTTGGTTTTACAGGCTTTGTACTACTAGATTGTTTGCTCTGGGACATGTGTGAGAGCCCCCACTTTAGTTTGAGCAGCTCAGCACCACGCGCGTGGTCCAAGATGATGCTGGCAGGGCAGCTGAGGCTGATGGAAGGTGCAGGCTGCAGCGGCTCCAGCAAGTTCGAGACGTGGTGACGAGACGATGTAGGACGCCGCTCGCCTGTCATGTTAAGTATAAGGCAAACATTTATTAAGTCGAGTCGACTAGAATCAAATTTATGGGTACGGTCATGGCGTGCAAGCTTTCACCTTGAAAATATATGCCAGATAGATATCGATGTCTCGCAAACATTTACCCATGTTGACCCATTCGCAGGCAAACATAGAAATATTTATACAAACATATTACAGAATACAAATAAAATTAAACTCAAACACAGATCCGTAAAGCATACTAACGTCGCCACAAACACAAACAGGAGAGCCATTATAACGTGGCCCCATGTACGAGAACTTTCAAGTTCCTTTTTGTGATCACTTCTCGGCGAAACTATTGAAGGAGTGCTAAGGTCATTTCTGAAGATGCAATTTAGAAACAAATTTGTTTTCGAAAATAGCAGTTGGTTAAATTTTGGTGGCAAGTAATGAAGTTACCAGCAGCATAAACATAGTTGAAGAGCACACTCATAAAAATGCGTGGGTAAAATAATCCAAATATTTACTTTACCCACAGCACAAGCGGAGAACGCAAGTGATACCTCCTTTTGCTGGGTCAAACTGAATCAGCTTGACCCACCCAATAGGGTAAAGAGTGCATCATTATTTGGACACACTCATCGCTCTAAACATGAGCAACAAAGTTGTGGGTGAACTGCTCTCAAGATGTGAACTGCTCATCCACAGAGTTGTGGGTGAACTGCTCTCAAGATGTGAACTGCTCATCCACTGAGTTGTGGGTGAACTGCTCTCAAGATGTGAACTGCTCATCCACAGAGTTGTGGGTGAACTGCTCTCAAGATGTGAACTGCTCATCCACTGAGTTGTGGGTGAACTGCTCTCAAGATGTGAACTGCTCACCCACAGAGTTGTGGGTGAACTGCTCTCAAGATGTGAACTGCTCACCCACAGAGTTGTGGGTGAACTGCTCTTAATTAAGATGCCCACACTAGCACTGACCGAAGGGATGCCTGGAGTTGCGCGAGTGCGCGTTAGGGTAGAAGGACGGGATGCAGTGTTCGGGGACGTGGATGCGTGGCACGTACAAATCTCCCATGGCGGCACGGCGGCTGCGCTTGATGGATGAATAGAAGCTCAAGTTGATCCAGTTGTGTGGCATGCTGTAGTCGTTGCCACCTCCCTGGCGCCTCTGGAACTGACAGCAGACAAACAAAAGGAAATATGAACATGAGCTTGACTAGCGCCATCAACAGCAAATATGAGGAACTGAGAGCAGACAAACAACGGCAACATGAACATGAGCTTAACTAGCGCCGTCAACATCAAGTATGAGGAACCGGGCAGCTAGACGAGTCTCGTGTCAAATTTCAATGTCAGGCGAAGCGGAAGAAGCGATAATAAGAAATTTGAACATATTAGTTATTCCGAACTTCATTTCAAGCAGCAGCAACACACATATATGTACTTTTCTACCATTGAGCAGCTGGGCAATATTTCATACTAAAGCCTTTCTCCCATTATAAGTAGATCAATATGAATGCAAAAAAAAAAACTACACAAGAACAAGGCGACAACGAGTCTGCAATGCCATGATGAGTGCAAGCACAAGCAAACACAAGCACAAGCACAGCACCTTGAGCAGGGGCACGGCATGCAGCGGCTGCTCCCCCAGACACACGAGATCAGAGCCCACGCCATTGTCGATGATGCGCTGCTTGGTGATGTTAGCGAGGGCTCGGTCCACTTGGAACACGCCCACCCCCGGCGTGACCACAACACTCATCTGCCCCGTGCGCTCCATGGAGCGATCAGTATAATGCTTCTCGAACACGTTCAGTGACATGTTCAGCACCTCGAGGAAGTTCCCTTCATCTGCTGTTGACAGTTCCGCCCGAGGAGGCTTCAGGTTCTTACATTTCTCTGAAAATTGTTTAGTTGAGTTAGGACTCCGGTGTAATGTTCTTCTCGAGTGATCATCGTGGTCAACGTCAGTTGTTTTGTTAGGGGCTTTAGAGGCAGATCTCTGGAGGTGTGTGTCTCGTACGTCCAACAAGGTCTCGCCATGTATGGTCTGTCTGCCGAGCACGGCGCTGGGGTAGTGGTAGAACAGCTGACGAAGAGTGCGTAGCACGCACGACCAGTCTTCGTGGCGCTCATTCTGCACCGCCACTCTGCACGGCGTAGTGTTCATCAAATGATATTTATGATTCAAATTTAAACGTTTAACTCATTAATTGAAAGTCATTCATCTTGATACTTTGGTTCTCAAACAGCGGTATGCATACCAAACTTTGGATAGTCGAGGCCTTTCATCTGTCACAAAATTCCTTTCAGCATCATGAATTATTTTTAGTTATCTATTTTTAACGTCAATAAGAAGTTAGCTGCCTAACCTCACGACAATCTGGTAATGACTTGCAACTATTGTCTCATGCCCCCCACCGGTCCCAGCGGTCCAACATTAAATTGGAAAATTAATCTTATTAAATGCGCTGGTTATGAGCGCAATAGATTAGTATTATCACTATTCTGCATCACTACTATTATACACTGCGCATTAATAGTGGTAGTTCATGATATGTGGTTACTGTACAGAACGTCGAAAAATTTAAACATTGTAGAAAGTTAAAGAAGGTCTCTACTGATAGTATAAAACTTCTCACTTTAGTTTAGCTGTGATATTTATTACACAACTATGTATTATTTAAAGGCATCAATACACAAAAAAAATTCATTCAAAATTAATACTTTTCATCCAAAGAAGGAAGAGCAGCTATTTTCTTGCATAAGTGGCACAAATAAATACTTAAAAGGAATACACTCATTAATTTAGATATTTATTCACATATTTTGTACTGAAAAACATCAAAGTGTCATGAAACATTAACTAACCAAAGCAGATAATAAAAGGCTTAATAAATCAATTGGTTGATAATTATAAAATAATTTCAGGCAGTTTACAAGAGAAGACAACTGACCTGTAGAAGTCCTGGAAGTAGCGGCAGAGATGGTGGGGCTTAAATTAATTGGTTGATAATTATAAAATAATTTCTGAAAGTTTACGAGATAATATAACTGACCTGTAGAAGTCCTGGAAGTATCGGCCGAGATGGTCTCGCTGTATGCAGGAGCGCATGTCACCTGGGAACTCGTCCAGGCTCTTCGCTGTGGGGTAGAAGCTGCGGGAAAACAGCACGATCGTCACGTCGTGGTTTGTGTTCATTTTCTGTCGAACAAACTCACTTTTAATAACAGAAAAAAGTAGTCGGTTAACCTTAAAATGTTAGCATTATGAGTGAATTATAGAGTTGGAAGTTAAAACAAATTTCCAATCATCATAAATAACACGAGTAGGTCGTTACATAAACTTATTACATATAATTATTGCTTGCTATGTATAGTTTGCACACCTTCCACTTGTCGAAGAGTTCCGTAAGGAAGCCACTGACCGCCTTCTCAAATAACAAGTCTCCGAAGTGGTCAAACTCCCACATTTCTGAGCTCATCTGAATGAAGAGGTAGAAGCGGCTTGTGCTCGACCGATAAACTACCTGCGCATGAAAATGCAGGAGAAAAAAATATGAAAATATAGAAAATAAATAAATTTAAATAAATATTAAAATAAGACTCGGAAGTTTACTTCAAACTTGGAGTTTTAAAAATGAATATAATTTTGCATTGATGTGTTATTGAGTCATTAAATAAGTATTGTCATCGTACAAAATGTAATGCTCTCGATATGATACAAATTTTAGAGGATACATGAAGTATAAATAAAAAATACTACGTGATGACAAAGCTCATTGACTGTTGCTGATGACATCCCAAGATATACATTACTACACAACTCGTACGTTGTATGCAAATATTAAACAATGCTTCAATATTGTACTATCTGACGTTCCATTCCTCTATGCGGCAGTACTGTGAACCCAACTTTTTTTCAGTACATGACACTGTTACTCCTATTATAATAATAACAAAATTTAATTAAAGTAATTGAAGTAAGAGCATGTCATGCAATAAACAAGTAATAAACAATAAAGTGCAAATATATTTACAATAGCTCACTTTAGTGTCAGCAGATACATAGCCGCATGCAACACGACTGCCCTGCGACCACATCTCGTACACCTGACAGCGGATTGTTTGGCCGCAGAACTCAACTATCTTGTTCTTGTACACAACACAGCCTTCCTGTTGAAAAATATAGGCTTTTCCTTATGTCACGTAAGAATTAAATAGGAAATTTGGATTACTGAAGACCATAGCCAGAACTTCATGGTGGGCCCATCTTTACAACTATTCTTTCAGGTACATGAAAATATTTTTAGTACAGTATTCTTCACAAACATGAAGTGAAGTGAGTCCTAAATAGGAACAGATCTTTGCTTCCCAGAATGAGAAGTGGCAATAGGATGGTTTGTTAGCACTTCAAGCTACCAAGCTATCTCGCACCACAGGTCAAAAATTAACATTGACCAACACATCTTAGCCACAAAATATTTCATTCTCAACTATTTCCAGCAATAGAACACTACAAAGAACGCCTCTTCCTTGCACTATTCTAAGTGTACATTGAGCTTACGAGATGCTGTGTAAGACGTCACATGTCAGATCTGTTGAGGTATTGGTCCTTGATAGGTTAGGTTAGGTTAGGCTAGGTTAGGCTAGATTAGGTTAGGTTAGGTTTTGCATTGAGCTTACAAGATGCTGTGTAAGACGCCACATGTCAGATCTGTTGAGGTATTGGTCCTTGATAGGTTAGGTTAGGTTAGGCTAGGTTAGGCTAGATTAGGTTAGGTTAGGTTTTGCATTGAGCTTACAAGATGCTGTGTAAGACGCCACATGTCAGATCTGTTGAGGTATTGGTCCTTGATAGGTTAGGTTAGGTTAGGCTAGGATAAGTTAGGCTAGGTTAGGTTAGTTTATGCATTGAGCTTACAAGATGCTGTGTAAGACGCCACATGTCAGATCTGTTGAGGTATTGGTCCTTGAAAGTAACTTCGAGCAGCTGCAGCGCCACCTTCTCAGGTTCAATCTTGGTGACCTGCACCATCTCGAACCGCTGTAGACGGAACTGGGCAGAGATGCTCTGCTCCACGCTGATCGTTCCTGTTGAACACATGAGAATTAAAAAAATAACTGCAGATCTAGTCAAATACTGTAAAAAAAAGTGAATTTACTATGATAGGTACGTATATCTTATTTTTCTGTGAAATATTCAAATGCAAAAAAATGATGAAAATTACCTACCTTGAATTGAGACCTTCAAAATGTCTCCTAAGGAATAAAATCCTTAATTTACCCACAAGATTAACATAGATTCAGGACATAAATTGATATCAAACTTGAAATATTGATAAATGAAAAATAATTTCATCCCAAAGAATTTTCCTGAAGCTGGGAATGTTTGAGACGAAGTCATGTTTTGAAACTTGAAAGTGATTCTCCAGTGAAGGTGTAATGCCTTCTTGATCATCTTGCTTTATTGCCGCGACTTATGAACAATTTCAGATTTAATTATTACACATCACGTAGACGTGCACTAAACTTTATTGTACAGAGAAATATTTAAACCAACAAGAAAATGATAAAGAAGAAATAGATCTAAAAAAAATTCAAGATGAAAGGTAGCTGAAAGCAACACTAAAATTAGGTAATCTTACTTGCTCTGCCTTGAGAATCTGTAAAAAGCATATGAATGACCTGTTTCAGGAGATTTTTTGACGAGTTTCAAAAATTTATCCATTTACTGTTTTATACATAACATAAAAACAAGGAACATTATCTTTCAGCAGTGAATGAATCACAAAGTTATTAGAATCAAACCTTGTTACAGAATTAGAGCCAGAATTAGTAAAGCAGCAATTGAGAAAAAGACAATATTGTAACATTGAATCGTAATACAAACATTGGAGCTTCACGTGTGACAAGTACTTACTGCTATACTCATTATACCTGATAATTTACCTATGGAAAAAACACCGCATTTAGAAATGCAGCAAATTATTTTAAATGAATCAGCCTTCTTATGAGAAAACACTCGTTTCTTAAATTTTTACCTTTTATTTGTTGTATTAGTGATACAATTTTCATGTAAAATATTTTCAACGACTGAATGAAGAGACATCAGATGCATTGGATACCTATAAGCATAGTCTAAGCTACCTGTCGTGAATAAATAATATGAGAATGCAATTATAAAAGATTCTGTTCTCTAGCAGTTCAACTGAAATTTTTTTATAACTGGATGAAGTAGGAAAAAATATCATTAATAGTAGGAAAATATCATTATAGATAGGACCTCATTTACTTAGAATTAAATGATAATCCAAACCTTTAGCAATGTTTTCTTCTGTACTTGGAGTGCGCGGTACTTGCAACAGCAGACGAGGGTAGGCAGGAAGAGGCCTTGAGTCTGCATTGTTGGTCTTTTTGTGGTAAATCTCCAAAATGTCACCAGGGCCAAAACCAGACTCTTGCGGGTTCAAGAGGAGCTCTTGATTATCAGCTGCACATAATTAACTCACATTAAAATATTATCAGGAATTGTAACAAAATAAAACTTTAACAAAATGTTGAACATCAGCACTACTAATGAAATTACACTGATAGATAGAAACTACTGTTTAAAATTACACATCTGATAGAAGCCGTACATATTGAAGATTGGCATAAGAATACCTGTGTTGGTCAAGTTCATACAATTTATGAAGCAGAGCTTAGCAAAAAAGAAACTTTTTCATCTATAATAAATTAGAAGCCACCTTCCATTTGAAGCAATATTTTTTGGCAAATTATTTCATAACAAAATTCCAATTACCTTTTGTTAGGACACTTCTGCTATCAATATTAAATCTTTGTATACAAGGCAAATTTAAATGCAGAAGAATTATGTGGTATTAGATGCTTGCAGTAGTCAAGTGCTGTATCCTCCATAGTTTCTCAGATAGCATTTTCAAATTTTCAAAGGTTGCAATAAAAGAAGCATTATTAATTCTCCGATTGCATTATTCAAAACCATTTTCATCAAGAGAAGATATAAATATGTTATGGAGGAATTTTACCATGCACATAAAGCAGATATGGGTTATATTGAATTTGTTACATTAGCACCCTTTAGCGTGCAGGCATGGAAATACCCAGAAATTAAATTTTCCAAAGTTAGTGCAAGAAAATGAGGCCAATTCTAATATATGCTTACGAATAGGAATTTTTCTTAAATTTTTTATATTGAAGAAAATCGTGTATGAAGAATTAATAAAATAAGGTCATTACAATATAAAAAATTTGATAATTATGGGTATCATCAAATTACTGTTATTTAGTGGTTTTGCCTCTGATCCAGAACTTTCGAATAAATGCTTATACTTGATTATTGAGAAGAGTAGGGTCTATGGTGATGCAATAAACATTAAGTAGCTGATCAGAAATTAGCAGGGGCATAAGAACATAGCCTCTAGCACAAACCAAGGGAAATAGCAGCCCCATTGGGAGATCAAGTGAGCATTTGTGGAAATTGCCTACTAGAGGGTAATTAATATACCGGTATTCCTGTACAACTCAGAAAATTCCTGAGCTCAATACTGAGAATATTTTATTAGCATTGAACAAGAACAATTTAGTAACATTTCAAAACCTTTGTAAATTTTTGAACTTATAACTTCTTTGTACCAAAAAATTATATAATTCTTAACCAGTACTGTGTATTATTATTTTTTTATAGTTGGGCAATTCAGTGCTATGGCAATCTAGTATGTATCACACATGGTAGTTGGCATGAAAAATTCTATTTGATTATTTAAAAAATATTCATCACATGATATATTTTTCGTATTTCCATTTTATGTTTGTTATACGTACTTAATTTTATGCTCCAAAAAATTAAGCATGGAATTTACACAGAAAAAAGAAAATCACTTCCAATTCAATAATAAGAATGCAATGTATAATAATGTTAAATTTCAAGATTGAAATTGACTCACACTTTACCCACATTTGTATGATTTTTGATGAAAGATGAGCTTCATAGCCTGACTTTTGCCACTTCCAGCTTCAGATCCTTTTCCTGAAGTGGCAGCCATGTCTTCCTAGCAGTGTTATTTCTTGCATTAATATTATTCTTGACAAAATTGAAATATGTCAACAACAACAATAAAATCTGATATTACCTATGTAGGAAAATAATGTAGCTAATCATGATTATGAACAAAAACTTCTGAAATTGTGGAATGGTCAGTTATTAAGTTATTATTAGGTAAAAACATTAAACTAGATGTACATGATGAAAATAAAAAAAACATGGTATATAGGTAGGTATTATACAATATACAATATAAACCCAGATTCAGAGATGGTATAACTTTTTTACTCTCCAGAGTTTACTCCAGGCGGCATGAAACCATGCGCTCCAAGAGTTTGCCTATGCAGGGTAGGAGGGTGATAGACAGTATCCCATCAACTCTTCCAGAGGGTTTCCTGGTTTTAGTATTAGGAATAATGATAATTCCCTGCTTCCTAGTAGTGTGGGGCCTCACCAACCTCCTGCCCAAAAGCATTTCTCAGAAGGCTAATTAGGAGCAGAGATCTCTTTTTAGTACCTTCACTCAGTAAATTAAGTTTTAACACCTCATTCATGAATTTCCTCAATTTAATTGAAAACTCAGTAAGTGATACACGAATAGTTTCCTCAAGACATTTCTCACTAGAGGCCAGCTCCTCCTTCATATGTCTTCCAAGGTCTGCATGTATGACATATACTGGAATTAGAAAAATTTAAACAAGCCAAGAGAGCCATCACACCAGCATGGCCAAGTCACAGACGAGCCACAGTACATTCTATAGAGCATTTTAAAGATCCATAGTAAGCCACATAGTCAACTGATGCTCCCAAGCCCAGCCTGAAGGCTCCTTTTCCTGAGGTCTGCACTTCTTGTGGCCACCAGGATGCTCTATGTTCCGAAAATTTGGATTTCAACACTCGTAGCCACTCCTCAAAGCATAAAGTTGATCTTGCACAGCAATCATTTGAGTGTGCAAGTAATTCTTGGTAATTCTGTCAGCAATTTTGTTGCCAAGAATCTGGGTGTGACCACAGATCCAGCACATCACTCTATTGAGCTCCTTAGTTTGCATCAATTTCTGAATTTGAAAGACAATCCATCTATAACAGCCACCATAAGTGGAAGAAATCAACAGCAGTGCTGCTTGTGAATCAGACAAGATTAGAACAGGCTTACTCTGGATAGGCACGTCCATGATGGCAAGCTGCACAGCCTTGCATATAGCAAAAAGTTCAGCACCCAGTACAGTGTGCATTGGATTCAGCAGCCACCCAGTGGCTAGTTGGGTTGATAACACATATAGGCCAGCAGAGACAGATCCAGTGGCAGTCCATGATCCATCAGGATAGATCTGTAGATGTTGAGGTTAATAATGCTTCCAGAAGTCTTGAAAGCAATTCTGTGTAAATTGGGGTGGCATTGAGTTGACTGCAGAGTTCAGCAATTCCCCCGCAGGCTGGAGGAAAGATCTACATAGGGTGGAATAGCAGACATTACCGTAGCAATGTTGGAACTCACTGCACAGAAGGTAGGTTTAACTCCTGAAAGCTTTGACATGCTATGACAATGAAAGGTGTGTGCAGAAGGTTCCCCTGGTCCAAAAATCCCAACATAGATGCCACTTGGTCTCCTGCAGGCATGTACATGTACCTGAGAGTCCATTTCATGAATAGGCAAAGAAATCAAGTTGCAAAAGGGGAATAAAAGTTGCAACTTGCAAGGATAACACAGGCATTGTTTGACAAGCATTCAGGTCCCATAATGTATCTGAGTGCCAAGTTCTGAACGGTTTCAAGGTAGTTCACCAAAGACTTTGGAATATTACCAAAATTCGTGGCACCATATTCGTGGTGCCAATGGTGCCCATATTCGTGGTGCCAATGGTGCCCAACCGTGGCACCAGCCACAGTTGGGCCTGAGGGTGTTTGTTGCAAGGGTGTCAAGAAAACACGGAATTGGTCTCCACCTCCCCTAAAACCATCCCAAACCACCTTTTCATTAGACTTCTCCATGTTTTTTATTTAAAAATTTATCGAACAACACAACAAGAAGAACCAGGTATGTACATTGAACAGAGAAGAAAAAGAACAAGTGCAAAACTAAGGCACGGGGGTCTACTCAACCTCAAATAATGGTATGTTCCAGTCTGTCTGTTTTTACCCAGTCTGAAAATCAAGCATAGAATTAATCTGATAAACCTAAGGAGCGCACTAAATCTAACCATAAAATATCAATTACAACACCTTTCATGTGATTACGTTAGTGAATTATTTTAGACAATATGCAGTCTACTTGTAATGCAAACACTGAAATTTAAACTCTTGCTTTAATTATAACTTTGATTTCGCATGTCTTTGCATCTCCGGAGAGGGGGGTTTGCAGGACTCCTAGTAGGAAAATCCTACTTCCTTGTAGGATCATTGAAAGGGACTTCCCACAACAACGAGGCACCCCACTTCACTGAACTAAGTTCTCTAAGCACTTGTAACCTTTTCAAGAAGGCTGTGTGGGTTTGTCTATGTTTCTTGAAGGTAAGACGAGGTGAATCGAAATAAAATCTGAACAACTTCTGGTGTATCACATGAGCTGATGGCTCATGGTTTCTATTGCGGAACCTATTCAGTTGCACAAACTCAGAAATTTCTATATTTTCAGCTCTGGCAAGTACTTTATGCTTCCAACATTAGCGGTAGGATCAATTGGTCCAAAAAACCCCATAACACAAACATCAGAGCCCGGCTGGTAGCAGTGATCAAGGTTTTTGATAAGGTAGAGGCCAGTAGGCAGGTCCAGTACATGGAAAAGGCTGACCTGTATAATAATGGACAACATGGTTTCCAACAAAATCGTTACTGTTTGTCACAGTTACTGGAACACCATCACCACCTTATTGCCTTACTGGAGGAGAGAGCTGGCGTAGATGTAGCATACCTGGACTTTGCTGAAGTCTTTGACAAAGTTGACCATTAGATGCTCTTCAGAAAGTTGACACTTTTGGGGGAGGACGAAATATGTTAGGGTGGATCCAAAACTTCCTTACAAATAGATTACAACCTGTCACAATTGGAAACTCAAAACCCAGAGAAGAAAGAGTGAAAAGTGGTGTGCCACAGGGCTTGGTGCTTGGACCGATCCTCTTCTTCATCCACATTGCTGATGTTAACTCAGAATTTACCCATGCTTCTACATCATCATTTGCGGACAATACAAGAGTGCTGATGAAGATCACAGAGGACAGACAGCAAGAGGTTACAGGATGACTTGTCGACAATCTACGATTGGGCGCTAGTGAACAATATGCAGTTCAACAGCACCAAGTTTAAAGTAATGAGATACAGAGTTGGCACAGAGATCAGGTTGCCACATAGCTACTTGGCATCAGATGGCACAGAAATTGAAGAGAAGCAACTTGTTTGAGATCTTGGAGTGTTGATGTGTACTGAAGCCACATTCGATGACCACATCAAGGAAATAGTTGCATGAGAGACAGAGGATGGGGTGGATCTGGCAGACATTTCAAAAAAGAGAAGCAGCGCCAATGATTACACTCTTCAGAGCCCTAGTACTTCCCAATCTTGAATATACTGATGTCAGCTTTGGGTGCCGCTCAAGGTGGGTGCGGTGTGCAAACTGGAGGCAGCGTATGGTGTGCAGCGGACCTTCATGTACAGGATCAGCAGCATGAGGGAGCTGGGCCTGAATTACTGGGAAAGGCTGAAACACCTGGGACTGTACTCACTGGAGAGGAGAAGAGAGAGGTATATCATACTGTATACTTGGAAGATGATAACTGGACTGGCTCCCAATTTTAAATGGGAGACCTCCAGAATAGTGACACATTACAATGAAAGGAGGGGCAGGCTGAGCAGGATTCCCACATTTAATAACCAAGCCGTGGCCAGATTTGTAAGGGATCACTGTCGGTGATAGGACGGAGGCTCTTTAATGCCATTTAATGGACTCAGCAGAAAGTTTCAGCATCAAGTGTCAATGATTCTTGAAGGTTCTATTAGCTGGGCTTCCAGTTTTGTTCACAGGTAGATCCAGGATGGTGCTCATGCACTACAGGGAAGTCAGACTATTTGTTTGCGTTAAATAGGTGATTGTTGCTCTTATTATTGCATGTTGAATCTTTGTGCGGAAGTTGCCTCCTCCAAGAAGTATTCGAACAGTTTGATGGTGCACACCCATGGCTCGAGTAGTATCAATCAGCACCTGACGCTCCAGGCGGTACCGAAAGCATGCCAGGAGAAAATGCTCCACGGTATCATCCACCCCACAATGCAAGCACATGGGAGAGTCTGCCATGCCAAATCGATAGAGGTACGACCGAACACCAACATGACCCAATTGAAGACAAGTAAGCACCACGGCAGCACGACGAGAACAACTGGCAACCCATGGAACAGGGGACAAATCACCCCGCACGCAAGCAAGATGATGTCCCTTTCCCTCAACAGCCAAAGCAGCAATCCAGTTCAGTTTCCAAGACCTGAGAAAGCAAGAAAGAAGCAAAGCAAGTGTGTCAGAACAAGAGAGACAAAACAAGGCAGAGTGGTCAAGAGTATGACCCATCTTTGCGACAGTGTCAGCTCGCTTGTTCCCAACAATGTCAGCATGGGCCTTGACCCACTGTAGGCACACTGTTTTCCTCTCATTCAGGCCAAGGAGCAGCTGACAAATTTGATATACAAGATCACAAGATGTGTCCATTGGCAAGAGTATGAGTTGCAAGGCTACGAGTGAGTCAGAAAAAATAACCCAGGATAAGGATGCTTCACTTACAACAAGCTTCAAAGCATGTAATATAGCAATCAATTCAGCTGACAGGATGCCATGTCTGGGGTTTAGCCTCCATGCAACTGCTCTGGCTTGTGCTGGTATGTATATACCACATGCTGTAGATGGATTGTCTGTCAATCGTGAGCCATCACAGTAGATTGCCTTGTACCCAGGATAATGTTCCCTAACATGAGCAGAAAAAACAGTGAAGTTGAACACCAGAACCAGAGACAAAGCGGAAATCGAGACAAATGAGATGATCCACACTAATCCAAGGGGGAACAGGATCAAAAGCCGGCAATAACAAACAGGGAGCCCCAGGTCAGTGAGCTGCTGAGGGCCTTGACTGAGTACAGATGCAGCACCCCCACAT